TTTTCAGAATTTGATTTGATCACTATTATATTAGACATAAAAATAAAAATTTTTGAGATGTTCAAGTGGAACGTGATTCAAAAGAGATTATAAAGAATATAATTATTAAAAATTAAAAGCAAAAACATCATTTTCGAGCTATGGAATTCAAATTGACATCTTTATATCAAAATTATACATAATATTAAAATTTCCAACTATTATTTAATTTTAATAATTTTCCATGAGTAATAATGAAATTTTAAAAGCGAAAAATTTGAAATATAAATCGATGACAATTGTATCAAATTATAGCAACAATTCATTTAAATTTGACAACTTTTTGCTATAAATAAAAAAATACTAACATAAAGATCAAACGGTAAATCCCTAGCTAATAATCATCAGCAGATGTTAAATTTATCAAATGTCTGCTTGCATGGTTGCATGACTAGATTGTCGCTTCAATTAACACTAGCATAAAGAGTGATGTATTTGCTAGTGATGGGATCGATCATATCGACAAGCCTCGACAAACAAAATTTATATTTTATTAAGTATCTTGAAAAAAAAGAAACGATACTTTCAAATAAAATTCGAAATTGAACAAATTCAAATCCTCTATGAATATTCTACTTTATGAGACATAAAAATGAAAAATTCAAACTGGAATCGAACGATCTACTCGAACTATCTCTACTGGAAATTTTTTATTTAAAATTAATTTTCTTAACTGTTTTTGAAAATAATTGTTGCGAAAGAATTATCTTATAATATAACATTTCTTTTTTAATTCTTTTAAAAATAATATACATTCTCATATATATGTTTTTAACGATGTATATTATAAATCAAATACCATTTTTCAATAGTTACGAAGTAGAAAAATTAAAATAAAATTGTAGAAATTTTCGTTTATGCTTTTGAAATTTTTTATAAAAATTCAATAAAATATATCTATTTTCCTCATAATTCGATTGTTATTTATAAAACGTTTCTAATATTGAACTATGTAGAAATATTTCTCCAAATACTTATTCTTTAAATTAGAATTGGTTATTAAGTTTAGCTTTACACATCTTGTCAAAATAGCATTCTTTGTCTAAATCACGAAAAATAATAGCAAGCTTTCATCATATTTCAAATTTATGGCTACGTTACATCCAATGGAGGAGAGAAAGAAAAGTAAATTTCTAATATTTTGATATTTGCCAATACAAATTCATTAAAAAAATTATTTAAAATCAAAGAATATTTATTTACATTAAATAAAAATGCGATCATCGAGTGAGTAATCTTTTAATAACTAAACAATGAACGACTTAAAATTTTTTGAAGATTATGAAAATGATCTCTTATGATATGTATCAAGATGAAGATCATTCCAATAAATTGCATGTTTGTGATATATAGAATGGTTTACAAATTGGCTTTGTTTTATATCGTTATTATTATTTATAGCAAAAAAATTTTCAAATAGAGTTAAATGATTTTAAAAAAAAATGTATTATTAGTTTTTTTATAAATTTTTATAGGAAAGTAGAGGATGTGTGAAGATCATTAACGTTTTTTTTTTTTAAATGGAAATATATATATTTTTATTGCATTTGATACAACTTGATATTCTCTATGTAAAAAAGGATTAATCTACTTGTGTGTAAAAATCATTAGTTCAGAAGATATTTTATCTTGAAATTCATAAAACTTATCGTATAAAAGACAAGGAAAACGCAGAGATATTTTATACGTTCATGTTCTCTTTGTATACATTAATTTGTCTATATAAAACGATGATGATAAATTGAATGATAAAAATATGATTTTACTTTAAAATTTTTTTATAAAACTTCAAGTTAAGATATCTTCTACATTAATGATTTTTTGACGCAAATAGAATTTTTTTTAAAAAATATCAAATTGTATATCGGTATGATGCAGTAAAAAAAAAACATTTAAAAAAAATATTAATCACTTTCATACGTGTATTTTATGCATCCATCTACAAAAGAATTGCCAACATCAAAATATATCCTTTCTGAAATCATTCAATTTCGTGTGAAACATTTTTTGTTTGTCTGAATGGATGAAAATCGAAATGATGATATCTTGTGAATTAACCTTTATCTTGAAAATTAAAGTCAAAATTAAAGCAATCATAGGAAAAAGTTATTTAAAATTATTCTTAATGTATTTTAAATCATTATAATCAGTTAATTATTCACATTATTATGAAATGAAAAGGTAAACGTTTATACATCCGGCAATCACATAATTTTATATACAATGATATGCACTGATTTAATAAACGGATATTTATGTGCGTGAGATTATTGATCAATATCTAATGTAATGTATATACTCATATTATTTAATCAATTGTTTTTTAATATATTGTGATACATGTTTGTAGATACATAAATTTAATTTAAATAATGCATATTTTTTTTGCAAACAATAAACGATTTATCAAATTAAATAAATGATGAAAAGATTGATGAAAAAGATATTCAAGACAAGTGATCAAATATTTATGAATATTGTATATACCAATGATAAAATGAAATATATATAATGACTTATTATTACAATGACTTATTATTTTTACATTATAAAACCTATGTCTATTAAATAAATAAAATTTCTATTAACTATAAAAAGTGTTCAAATATGTATGTTAAAAAACAATTAATTTAGTAACATTAAAATAAACAAATATATATCATAATGTTTGATTATTAATAATATTATTATTAATAAGAATAATTCTACTATTATATTATATTTATATTTTTTTTATTTCTACTATATATATATACTATATATTACTATATATATATATACTAAGATTATAATTTCTATATCAGAAATGATATATATTCAATGTAATAAAATTATATTTTTCACTTCAAAAGATTGGAAAAAAATTTCCTTTTATAAAATAAGAAAATTTAAATTAGGTAAATGTAGAGGGAAAAACAAGTAACAGGTGACTATAATATAGGAGATTAAGAATCAAAATAAATAATTTTCTTTTCTTTTTAATAAAATTCTATTTTTATATTAGATATTCATTTAAAAGAATATCTTGGAAAGTTTCTATGAAAAAAGCATTATTATTATTAGCAACTTTTTTTAAAAAGATATCAGAATTAATCAGAATAATAAAAGTTTCATGAAAATAAATTATTTCAAAGCAAAGTTAGAAAACATGAATAAAATTAGTATTAAATAGATATTTTATAAGTTTTGTTCTAACTAACATTTTTATTTTCAAGAATTTCTTACTTGTCCTCACCAGAACTCACAATATGAAATTCATGTTATAAATTGAACTTTTAAATTAGCATAATTAATTATATATATGTGTATATATATATATATATATTTAAAAATATATATATATATATATATAACAAGACATAATAAAATATACAAACATAAGATCAACAATTAGTAAAGGAGAACTTTACTAAGTGCAATGAACACTGATTTTGCATTACATTTGGAGAAAGTAAGTCTACAAATTTTGTATGAATACATTTTGTGAATTTTCTTAATCAAAAAATTAACATCACTCATCATTTTCAATATTTTTGATATTTTTAATAAAATTTAATTAAAGTCTGGATGACATTTAATAATAATTTTTATTAATTATTGAAATATATGATATATTTAAGTACATATTAATAATTTTATTAATTTTTTTCTTTTATTTTGATTATGGTTGTTTTATTATAATATAAATATTCACAATTTTTTTAAATCAATTAATGTGATAATGTACAACTGTTTTAAATAAGCTCAAAAAATTTTCAATTGAATTTATTCAATCAAGAGAATTATCTGGCCATGATAAAAAAAGTATAATGAAAAATAATGAGATATTATGTATCATAATATAGTATAAATTATCAATATGCGTGAAATATGTAATATTTAAAATTTGCAATTAAATTTTCGAATTTTTTAAATTCCATTAAAAACACGAAAAATAATGAAAATTTTTTTATATATCTGTATATATCTATCAAAATTATCTAATTAATAATGTATTTAAATTTAATTGATTTCTCTTAATTTACTATCTTATTTTACTCTTCTCACAAAAATAATTTTTCTTCAACTCTTATTTTGAAACTAACTCAATAGGGGTTCACAATAATAACAAAAATAACGAAATATATGTTATTGTCCACACATACACACACACTAAAGAAGGTTGTTCCAATTGAATTAAATCGTAATTTGATTGATTCAATTACATTATTTCAATTATGTGATTCGTGAAACTTTCGATTAAATATTTTATCATCAATGTAATCACGGTATAATATAATTGAAATACATTGGAATTCAATGTAATCAAATTATAACCTCGGTGTTTTTTTCTTAATGAGTGAGCCGTTTACGTGATTGCCGTTATTTTTTCCCTGTAATATACATGATATATTATAATCTTAACACTATAGAACAATCAAAAAATAATTTTTTATTTTACGATTATCGAGAGCATGAAAGTATTTTTAACAAAATTAATATTGTATAATTTATTTTCATAACATCATTTTAATTGCAATCATTCTTACGTAAAATAGATGGTTAGATACTGTAGACAGATTGTTCTAACGTTAATATATTGTATTTTCTTCTAACGTACATAACATAATATATAATATGTAAATTAAAATTGTATCAAATAGATATATATTTCATTATTTGAATACATATGTTTAAATTTCGAAAAAAACAAAATAAAAACACTATTCGTGTTCAGATACTTTCCCGATTACTTAATCTTTTTCATCTTTCATCATTTCATCACTTTCACTTTAATCAACATTCCTTGATTCCTAATTCCCAAGTCATCGTTCGATTACGTTATATCTTATGCGATCGTGAATGAGCACAGTAATCTTGATCGAGCAAAAAATCTGAATTAAAAATATAATTCGATTAATGTGAACTACATTTTAATTAATTATAACACATATCACATGGAATAATTCAATTGTAATAATTGCAACAACGCTCCGCGGCGCAAAGCAATTCGCAATTGCTATTTCGAGACGGAAATAGCTGGGTCGAGTTCGTCTAAAATTATTCGATTGGATAGAACGAAATCTCGTTTACCACTTAGTACGCTTCCGTGCCGGTGTCTCTTAACCGCGATCGATCGCGCCGGTGTATCGATTCAACGACATCGATATGGCAGAATCGGAACGGTTTTACAAAACTCTGTGCTCGTTGGAGACCGTGAGATCCGAAAAAAGAGGTTTCTTCCGTGATTTTAGCGAGAACGTGACACGAGTCGCCGGGGAACAGTGGATTTCGAAGGTGTTCGGTCGACTGGCCACCGACGAGGAACGAGTTCGAACTGTTTTCACCGATTCAAAGATAAAGGACGCTGTTCTAGAAACATTGAATCGCACGGAGATCCTTTATCGTGACAAGGATGCAATGGCGTCTAGAGCGAGAAGACTCGAAGGATTCGAGGCAATGGCAGCGGGGGAAAGACAGAAGGCGTTATTGCTGTTCAGTCAAGCCATTCTTCGAGCATCTCTTCCAGGTTTTTCTTTTCTTTTTTTTTTTTTTGGAAGATAATAAATTAATTTACCGATGTTTAATTAAACTTTTGCCCACTGCGCGATTAATGGAAGAAATTAAGGTTAGGTTACGTCTGGGTTTACGTGTATCTTTTGTGGTTATGTCTTTATATATTTAGGAATTTTGAATGAAAAGATTCGTTACATTAATTGTAAATTAATGTTTGATTAGGAAATGTTATCTTTGCTTGAAATAGTATAATTCTTTATTAAAGAGTTTGGAGTTAATATGGGATTTCAATTCTCTTGAACGTATTGATTATGATATTTAGTAAATTTAGTATTATTATTATCTTTGTTATTAGTACTTGTATATTTATATTCATATCTATTAATATATTGTTTTTGCTTCGAGATATATCTAAATATGCATATAATAAATATCTATGAAATGAAAAACACATTTATTCAAATAACATGAATTAGAAATCCATAATTTACATAAAATTCCACATTGTCAATAAATTAATATTATAAATATATTAAAACTTCTTATTAGAAATAATAAATAAATATATTGTCTAGTTATCTATTAATAATTATCTACAGAAAAAATAGAAAAAAATTAATAGATAAAGAATTAAGAAAAAATTTTTTGAAATGTTTAAATCATTTTTTTCTTTCTGCTAGAAATATTTGTAAATTAAAAAATTATATTAGACATCACTTTAATATTGATTTTATTGGAAGATTTATCAATTTATTGATAAATTTTTTTAACTTTTTTCATTACAATTATTTATTGTTATCAGCATACAAATTTTTACTGTCGATCGAACAAAATTTTAAATATTTACGTCGAAGATTCATGATACATCAAACAAGTGGAAAACTCCTGTATATATCAATCTGCCAAAAGTATCAAAATTATTCAAATCAGTATCGAATCTTTGAATATTTAGCTAATATACGTAAAAATCGAAGAATCGAAAAAAAAAATCGAATTTTAAGATTATACATACTATATTTACCAATATATAAAATGTGAAAAAGAAAATATAAAATGTTATATTGGGGTGTTTTTAAAATAGCAACAGACGTGAATTGCAAATGTATCGATATTTTTTCGAGATGTATTTTATTATTTAAAAAATTCAAAACGATCGAGTAAATATCATTTACGATTTCTTTTGATGGCCACAAAGAATCATATATTGTGATTGCCATTATATTGCCATCATTCTTTGTCAATAAAGGCGCGGACACATTTGAAAGTAAAATTTTCGAAAATTACTTCTTGAAAATACTATCAGTGCGACAATGTGATTAATCGTTTCTTAGATATAGATATATGTATATGAAAAATGAAAATATACATTGTGTAGAAAAAAAATTGAGTACAAATTTTAAAAGCATATCATCAAAAATCATTAATTTTGAAAGTATTCAGATATTTTATTGTAATAAAATATTATTTCTAAATATTATGTATTTTTTTTTTTCAATCTGTATTTCAATATATTTTTTTTATAGAAGTACGCCGATTTAAATCCAATGGATTTTTATCTATGGAGACGTATAATATATAATAAATCAATTGTTTCATTAAATGAATTAAAAAGTCGAAAATTATTGTTAAGAGAAATGAATCGAATATTGTTCAACTTATGCATGCTTCTATGGAAAATGGTGAAATGGATGAGAGGTTAAAATATAAAATATCTTTTTTTTAATTCAAAACTAATGATTTTTGAACTTACATTTATTAAGAAATTGTTCAACTTTTGATAATTATTATTACACGTTTTTAAAATTTGCCTTCAATTTCTTTTTCGTACACTCCATTTATATACATATATATATATATGTAATTTGAAAAATACAAAAAAAAAAAAAAAAAAAGGAAAAAAGTCATTAGTAACATACTTAGGAATTAACAAATGATTCATGCGAAGAATATGTACACGTTATGGAAATAAAAAATATGCATTATGCAAAATATGTAAAATAAAAAATATATTTTTAGAATTTAGTCCTACGATAAAAATGGACAATGATAGAAACATAGATATTTTTGTTCGAGTTTCATTTTTTTATCTTTATTTCGTGTAAAAATAGGTATAAATTATGATAACATTTGCATAAATATCCTAGACAATCTTTAGATAAAAATCGATAATACCAAAGCAAAGACAATACCAAGTATTATCAAAATTTATTGATATTTCTTATTCAGTATATGTATTGATATATATACTGAATTGTATATTAAATATTAATATAATATTATTTGTGTATTTCATTTTTTTTTATTCAAAATAAAATTCAACGTTATTCTCTGTTGATTTTAAATATATATTATAAATATATATTAATATGTATTTTATTGGTTCTATAAAATTTTCGTTTATTTACAATAATTTCTATTTTTATAAAATAATTCTCTATATATTTTTAATGATTTTGCATAATTAACTATGTTAAAAAAAAAATTATTATTTCATAAAAATTTATATTATTTATAACATGAACATTATTTTACGTATACACATGATTTTGAAATATCAATAATTTTATAACACGTAACAATCGAAATTAAAATCAAAAAATATTTTTAAAAATATGTTTAAAAAAAAATTATCGAAGTCTTATCAAAACTTTTCAAAAAATTAATTTTACAGAAATTATTTTTTGCATATGAAATCATAAATAAGACATTAATTTTAATTATACATATAAATAAATATAATCCACTTCAATATGATGCTATTCTGGGGAAAAAGTCATGAAACCACGAAAAAAAAAAAAATGCAGATCTTTGTAATAAAATAAAAGCAAAATAATTATTTTGAGATGCAATTTTAATTTTTTTCGTTTCACTATCAATTTTTCTCTCTCTCTTCTCTTGTTTCTTTTTTTTTTTTTCAGGCAAATGCAAGACAGTCGATCGAGGATTAGGATTACCACTCGCGTTCCTAGCTAGAGCCGAGGCTTTTCTCACGTGGAACGAACACCGGTTCGCTCTGGAAGATTTGACTTTCGTCGAGGAGATGAATCATCTTCTGCCAAACGAGTTAAGGTGAAGAGAGAAGCGTTTGACAGGAAGATGGAAGAAACAGAGATCATAAGTGTCGTTTTAAAAATTATTCAAAGTTAAGAAGATGAATATACATATTTTTTTCAATGATCTTTGTTATAAATAATTAAAATTATCTATTTCGATTACCTAATAATCAATAACAATGATAAGAATTCTTTTTCTTTGTTACTCGTAATCAATTTATAAAAATGTTTTATCATTATATTAGATTATTGTCAACTTTATGGTTATTTAACCGATCAATGATATAAGATTAATTATTATTTATAGAAAGATAGATATGGATATGCATGAAACAAAGAATAGAATTAAATGGAAAAGTTAAGATGTTAAACATTATACAAGATGATGTATCTAAAATAAACCGAATATTTCAATTGTTGTTAATGATGAAAAGAAAAAATGAAATACCAGATTAAATTTGCACGATAAGAAGCATCATAATTTGATATATGAATAACTTTTTTGGTAAGTAGAATTCATATGAAATAATATATTTTTGTAAAATGTCGTAGTAAAGCATTTTAAAAGTAAAGCATTGGTTCAAGATCATTTATAATCAATAAAGCTTGTATTATCAATTGTAAAAGAAAATAATTTATTCTTAATATGAGCAATCAAATATTTTACTTGTGTAATGGCAATTTATCAATGTATTATTGTATTTACTTTAAATATGTAAAGTGGTGAATTTGAGCATCCAAAATTTGAGCAAATTTCGTTCTTTCATCTCTTCTCTGATTATCGATTCTCTATTTTATTGTATTCTTTAATTTAATCTTCCCCATAAATAAAAATCTAAAGGCATTAAGTCTAATGAACCATATTGTTCATCCTTAACATATTTTGTAAGCCATATTATAATCTATAGTAGAATATATTTAAAATTAATAATATTCATAGATAAAGAATAAATAATGACGTATAAGAATGTTTATATTCGATATATACGTATTATGATGTTATTAATGATATTATTAATAATCAGAGGAATTATATAAAATAAATTATTCTCGAATTTGATTTTAAAATTGACCTTGTACCATTATGCAAATCATTGTGCGCATTATCTTAAAATGTTTTACTAGATAATAGATACGAAATATATCATTCCATTTAAAAAAAACGATTTTAGCATGACCTCTAGGCGTTTACCTATTAAAAAGCTATTTACATGCAAGTTTGGTTGATATATTTTTTCTTATCATTTTCCTATCAATAAACCAAGATGTTTAATTCATTATTTATTTTATTCTTTGTTTCATATATATTCATATCTCTCTTCGATTTAATAAAATATATAAGTTTTACAATTAATTTTGTGCTATTGATGGATATTAATTGCAACAAATGACAATTGACAATAATTAAATATAATAAACATTTTAAAAATTGTATTAATAGTAATGAAGAAAAAATTTTCTGATCATTAATATATTAGTTATCAAAATAAATTTTCATTTAAATGGTTATTCTAAGTAACGAGAAGAGTTGAGAGTTTATTTTATTTCTAAAAAAGATTTGATTATGGCTGCCATCTATTTAAGTAAATAGTTAAATTTTTACTCGACGATTTTTTTGTTTTTTCTAATTTTTTAAATAACTATGCTATTTTGGATTTTTGGAAAAAAGTAAAAAGAAAGTATCTTTTAGAACAATGTTGGCTCGGAAGAAAGAAACGTGCGAGAAATTCTTACGTGCAAATGAGAAAAGCCTAGTATCTATTGAACAGGTGTCGGATCGAAGGAATGGAGCATTGGTTGCCACCGAGGAGAAATATGGTATGTTTCTGTCGTTGAGATTGGCAACCATGACGGCCAATACAAGCTACACATAAGATATACATCCACATCTACATCTCCATAAAATCAAACAATTCACTAAATTTTAACCAAAAAAATTTTGTTGAACTGTTGAAAATTTTGGAAAGAAATATTTATTCGTTTATTTACATATTCATTTATACAAAAAAAAATATATACCTACACATTTTAAAATCCACAAAATTAAAAGATTACACATATTTTAATCAAAAAATTGTTACTCTTTCAACTGTTGTACCTTTGAAAAGAAATGTTTGTACAATTATTTATTTATTCATTTATAGAAAAAATCCACAAAATTGTCATTCCTTAATTTATCAATTATTGAAACTCAAAAAATAAAATTTTTCGTTTATACAAAAATAAATACGGAAAACAATGTCCAAGCTTAATCAATAAATATTAATTAACTCTTAAATTAACAATTACACCAAAAAAATGGTTTTCAAAAGAACATTCAAATTCTTTTATTTTATAACAAAAATACATAATCCTCTTTACGATAAACAATTCATTTTGTGTATAATTTACATACTTTCAACTTATATTAAATTGGAATATTCACCGTAATTTAATTGTATTGCATTCGTATCGGAAATTCCACAAAGAACGTGTTAACGTTTGAAATATCAAGAAATTCATTTTAATACTCATACTCATACTTCGTTTATCAAACTGTAGATAATTAACGATTTCCTTTTCTATTCATTTCAAATCGAATTCGTTTACTCTTCAGTATTGAAAGGTGGTGAAAATCCTCGTCTACCAGGAGCCTCGACTCTCCTTGACGTCGAAGAAACGGCGAATGCTGGGAAACGAGTGATCGCGGCGAAAAATATCGAGCCTGGGGACCGATTGATCATTGAATCGCCACACGCGGCCATTCTGCTTCCAGAATTCTTCGGTACCCATTGCCAACATTGTTTTTCGAGGTTAGCCTTGTCCCCATAAATATCCTTTTTCTAGAAGAACCGCGAAAATTTGAAACAATATTGGAAAATTTCCAAGCGTTATTTAATATATTAAATCGAATATTATTTGCTACGGTAAAACTTTCATTATTTTCATCATTGCTAAGATAATTTAATTTACACGTTTAGAATATTTAAATATTTAATATAAAAATATATGAAATAAATTGTACAACAAATATTGTTACAAAATTTGAAATATTTTCATGAATATGTAACTTGAAAATATTATTCATTTAATATTTGAATATTATTTGTTGTAATATAATCTTCGTTATTTCTATCGCTATGATGGGATAATTTAATTTTTGCATTGTAAAGTGATGGAATGTTTGATTATTTTAATATAAAATATGAAATAAGTTGAAAATTATTCTATATTCATACGAATACTATTTATTACAATAGAACTGTCATTATTTTCATTGAAGTGGTATATAGATAATTTGCATTATTGCGAATACGATTCAAATGATAGAATGTTCGAATATTAAATTAGTTGAATAATGAAGGTTTTACTAGTATTTACATTTGGATTAGATTAGATAAATTGAATAATTTTAATTCGTATTAAAATAAATTAAAATAATTTACTTAAATTTAAATAAACCGTTAAAATAAACCAGTCAGAAGGCAAATATATGATATGACTAGTTAATATCCCTTATATAATAATAATAATCTTTTCGTGAGGATCATTTTTGGAGGATTCATCCAAAATAAACAATTCTGACGACAACAGTCGTACACTCGTTTTTGGTCCAAACGATTATTTTTACACAGATGACAGTTTAGAACAGTGGCCAAATTAGTGTGAATGATACTGATTAATCAAACATTTGTATAAATATACAAATTTATGATATAATATATATCACAGGTGATATATTATCTGTTCTAATATTTTACTGTTATCATTTCTTTTTTGCTTATTACAATTAGAATATGGATTATCCATAGAACAACCAATAACTAACTATTTGTAATATGATATTCAAACATCATGGTATGAAAGGTTGTTGCTCTAAAATTAATACACCTTTCAGAATAAAATTAAAGTTGACGTATAAAAATATCTGTTAAAACTTATTTATTAATAATTATAAAAACTTGTTATTAGAATTGTTCCACATTATCCAACGTGAACTTAATTTGTTTAATAATTTAATAAATAAATCTACTAATTTTATGTGTCAAATTTTGCATTCGTTCTAGGATTGATCCTTCAAAAATGTCTTCATATAAATTCTCTTCTATTATCTTTTCATAATTTATACGTTCGTTTTTATCTCTAACATCAATCCTCTAAACGTATTCCACAAATATATTTCGAAATTATATTTTAATTGAAATTATGTATCTTTTACAAAAAAAAAAATTAAATCTGAAATTGAATTTTCACACATTTTCGAAACAAGCATTTGTGTGCTATTCAAAAACGGAAGCAAAATATATAAAATCGCACGTTAAAACTTATGTGAGAAAGAAAATCAGGTAAAATTTCATGTAAATAAAGTCTATTAAAGTCTATCTATTTCAAAAATCTATTTCCACTTTCTTTTTGTATTAAATCGTTAGTTAAATCGGTAGTTTTAAAACGATTCTGAAAATAATTTCTTCGTACTGTTATATATCGGTTCTAACTAAAACAGTTATAAGGAACCGAAATGATATTATAACAGTTATAAATTAAAAAAGTTCTAGTCTATATCGGTTACGGTCCCGGTTCTGCAGAAACCGTTATTATCGGTTCTGAAACGATTCTATATCGGTTTTTAAATGATTACGTATCAATATATTCCATTTTCTCTTTTACCTCGATCGTCACGAATGAAATGTAAAGTATTAAAAAAAAAACTTTTCTTATTCCTTGAAAAATTGATGGCAAATAAAGTTTGATGCATACCAAACAGAAAGACATATTTTTGTGATTAGGCACAAGTGAAAAATAATGACTTTGAAACTAATTAGTTATATATATATACATTAATATTAATAATTTTGGACATAATGATGATTATTGACATTAAATGGCATTTATTCTTTGAATAAAATATTAAAATGTTTATAAATGTTTATTAATAAATGAATAAAAGAATTGATGCATTGTTGATCATATAAATTTATATAATTTATTGGAAAGAAAAATTGTTTTGTTCTTTGTATATATTTTTGCAGAAAAGAAAGTGATCTTCAGTTTTCTTTAATTTGCAATACTGCATATGCTTTTACAACATATGAAACCATATCATGTGTCAAGACGAATTCATTCGTGTGCCTGACCATCATTTTCAGGTGTATCATAAATGATATTTTTAACAGTGCATCATAAAAAGAAATTGAGAGGAGACAAATCTGGAATCATCATCGATAACCATTTAAATTACCATAGGTTTGTCAAATTCCATTTGTTTGGATAATAATATTCTATTCAAGAAAGATGTCTAAAACAAAAAAAAGCTAATCACATTGAAAATATCAATATAATATATAAAATGTTTCTGATCTTATAAGATCATATAATATGTAATAAATAATCTTAAAGATCACTTATGCATAAGATCATGCATATGAATGAATTCATTTCATTCATTCATGATATGAAAATATGTACAATATGTGCAAGAGCATTTAAAAATTGCTCATCTCTGTCTCTCGAAAATTATTGGACAAAATGTAAATATAAGTATGCAAACTAACCAATTTTAAAAAACCAATATTATCTCCTTTTTTTTTATTCTTCCCAACTTCGACATTTTCAGATTCAAAGCGCCGATAGGATGTCCGGATTGCAGCAGCGTGGCGTTCTGTGGAAGAAAGTGCAGGGATGCAGCCTTGGCCGGCTACCACAAATACGAGTGCAAAATTCTGGCCCTGTTGATAGGTATAACGCACGAGTAACAATCCCCGCTCCAACGTTCCGAAAAACACGATCGTCTGTTGCTTCGTCAGGCTCGGGGATGAGCGTTTTGAGCATGCTCGCCCTGCGAATGGCGACTCAAATTGGCGCAGCAGGCTGCCTCCGCGTCCACCGAGCATTAAATCGTCAGGATCCAGTGGTGGACGGGGAGGAAGCCGCGGAATCGTCGACGATAACAACGACGACGTCAGAGGGGAAACTGAGCAAGTCGGCGAAGCGTCGTTCGAGAAGGAAGAAACTTCGAGACTCGAGACGGACAAAGGAGGGGGAACCGGTGACGAAACGCGGGGAAATAAAAGGAGAGGAAGGGGGGGGCGAGGAGAGAATGGTGGAAAGTGTGGATCTGCGAGTGTACGGTCTCGTGATGCATGAAAAACGAAGGGCGGCCAAGGACTTTTTCGAAAGATCGTTGATGGCGGCGTTTCTTTTTAAGTGCTTGCAGAAGGTTGGATTCTTCGACGATCCGTCGAGCAACGAAGGTAAGAAAGGAAAGTATTTTATTTTGAAGAGGAGAGATTATTTTCTCTAAATAAAAATATAGAATTAATTTTATTTCGTTCGAAAAACGATGCGATTTTATTCTATATATTTTTTTTTTTTATTTTATCTTCACAAGTAAAAATCGAAAATTAATTAATATAATTATAGTTAGAACAAGTTTTCGAATTTAATTTTCTCGAAAACAAAGACCTAAAAGAGAAAAATTTTATTCTATTTTATATATTTATATAATACACTATTGCTTATTTATTAGTAGCAATGAAATTTGCAATTTTTCAAAATTGTATTATATACAGAAAAAAAGCCATTGTTACATATTTTGCACAACACACTTTTCCATTTTACGAAATTTTACAAGTGCATTTTTGAATTGCACGTTTCCTTGGAATTTTGATGCAAGATTCTTAATCTTAAAACATTTAAAATCATAATTTTTGAATTATGTAATTCTTGCAAATAAGCGATATGTATTTCTATATGCTCAAAATCGTTATTTCGTCTTTATAATTGGTTCGAAGAATACAAACAAAAATTTAGCGCTTGAAAATAGAGTTTAATCACGCCCTCTCGTTTCAGAGACGCCCAACGATCGAGAGATTGCAGTGGCCAGCCTACTGCTGAAACATCTTCAGTTGTTGCAATTCAACGCGCACGAAGTATTCGAGACGCGACTTGGAATGGAGCATCGGTTTCGTGGTAGCAAATCTATCTATATAGGAGTAGCCATTTATCCGACAGTTGCCCGATTCAATCACGATTGTTATCCGGCGGTAACCAGGTGGTTGTTACTTTTAGGGATAAATTATTCGAGACTTTTCGAGTTCTTAAGCCTCGAAACTTTTTGCTATTTTTTTCGAAACGTGACGAATAATTTGCAAATTAATTATTAATTACGAAGATAATAAATTATACGATACAATGTTAATTTATTTTTATTATATTTACCATTTGTATTATAATTCATCTCATTTTATATTTGGCACAATTTCATCAATTCATTAAGTATACAGTTTACTTAAAAAAATAAAAGACAAATATTTAATTTTCTGCAAATCGAAAAAATTACTATTATATGGCCAACTATGAAATTTCTAAATTTAAAAAATTTCAGAAATTAAAAGTTTGTTAGTTCTTTGCGAGACAGATGAGTATTTTTCAGGAAAAGAAAGAATAATATAAATATTTTAAGTGTAGAAAGTTTCGAGAGTTCATAAAATTCGAATTTAAAAATTCAGTCTCAATCTTTAGTTACAGTGATGTCCATTTTAATTGTCGCAGGAATAGCATAGAAGTTCATTCGTTATGGGAGATATAAGTCTCGTGACAATTGTTTTTACTCAATTTCATTCTTCAATTTTTATTAGTTTGATTAGAAACAAGAGAGAAAAGCGTTCTCTAGAGATGCTTGTATTTCTTTTTACGATACATAATACTTTAATAGATGGGCGTCATTTTTATTGTTTTTGCACATATAACGAGGAAATCTCATTATTGCTCATAATTAAATATTATGAATTTAAAGAAATGAAACTTAATTTTGTAACTAAAAAATTAATCAATTATATGTAGATTTATTTGTTATTTTTTTGTAAAAATAATTACCTAAAAATTATCTAATCTAACCTAATCTTAGAATTAGAACCAATTCATAAAATGGAAATATGAAATTTTAGAATTTTCATGTTTTTTTTTTTTTATTTTTATAAAAACGACAAATAAAAATGTGTTCTATTCAAAACTGAAATCTCCAAACAATATCTTCGAAATATTAAGTTTCTAGTTTCTATGCATGTTTAAAAAAAACTGGTTAACAAAGGACTATATTATATTTCGTATTAGATCAACCATAACTTTTCACACTAAAATTCTCTGAAATTATTATACTTCTTATTGCACTTCTTTAGATATTTTCTCGGCCGTTGTATCGTGATTCGAGCAACTCGCAGTCTCCGACCAGGAGACGTGGTCGCTGAAAATTACGGACCTATATTCACGAAACGAAACTTAGAGGAAAGACGAAGAAGTCTGGCTGGAAGATATTGGTTTTTCTGTGAATGCAACGCCTGTCGTGAAAACTGGCCATGCTTGGAAGTTATGACGAACGATGATGTTAGACTGAGGTGAATGTGCTTTTCTTTTTTTCTTGTCTTATATTGTCTTATACTCGCCTATAAAGATGTTTTTGTGTTGGGATCTGAGGGAAAAATATGAAGTACGAAATCAAAAAGAAATCAAATTGGATTTGGAATAATCAATTATTACGTGTATTGCACATCTCTTCGTGAATTTAATGACTTTTTAAAGAGAAATGTGAACAGAATTTTAAAAAAAAAAATAAATAATATTATACAGAAATCTGAGAGAAAATTAGAATTGCGATTGAAAAAAATAAAAATTATCTTTATATAATTAAATAAACTTTACGCTTTTATAGATTGTTTTTAATCACTTTGTTATGATGCGTATATTTATGGAAGATATATTTTTAATATATTCTCAGGTCGGAACGAATAATAGAAAAGTTGATGTACAAAAATGTCGATTAAAAATTATTTATTAAATTATAATTCAAATTTGTGTAGATGAAGCGAGAAAAAGTCGATGTATCTCAGAAATATATTAATATCCTGTATAAATAATAAAGAAATAATTAGTAGAAATTCGTTGCATCTCAATAATTTTAAAAAAAAGAATAAAAAGTTTAGTCTAATCAAAATTAATTCATGAAAATGTGAAAATGAAAAATCTTAATTTCGAATTATCTTTTTTTTTGAATTGAAATAAATTTAAATGTGGCCAATATGCCAATATCGAAATTCAAAATTTCAATACAACTGCATAAACATTTTTTTGAAAATTTTGGCGGAAATTTTTACTAATTAATAATAATATAATATAAAACTTGTAATTTGTTTAAATTTTTGTTATTATTTATTAACCTAACTCGCTTTAATTCACAAGTTAAACTTACATTAAGTCTAATCAAAATCTGAAAAATATTACAATATGTATAATGAATATATTTACATTTTTGAAATTAAAACCGAGCAGAATAAAAAATTTTTTAAAATTAAATTATTAAAAAATTAATATAATAAGTTGATTATTTTAAATACTGAGTTCAAATTGTGTTGTCTTTATATTAATTCATACTAATTTTTTTAGATTTTTTTCATCATCATCTGACACAAATCACAAATTTTTTTTTATTTTTCTCATTATAACAAAGTGTTTAAAATAATCTTATTATAATATGTGAGATACATTTATCAAATTTTATTTTTAGGGAAATAATTTAAATTTTATCTTTTTCAAAAAATCTTTCTCTTCAACTATGTAAAACAATACATAAATATATAAATATATAAAACAATTATAATTCAAATTGAATCTTCCATAATAACGAAACAAAACAATACAAATATATTTTTCATGACAAATAGGATAATTCCTTATTAACAAGATTCAGAATACTGTATATTTTTCCTATAACCGAAAATTAAATTGAGTTTAAAGAGTATTGATGCAGTAATTGAAATCACAAGATTTCATTTTGACCAAATTTTTCTTGAACTCGATCTCTGTATATAATATCCAATATTTATTCCAAAAAATATATTATTCAAGATATATTCAAGATAGGAGATACTTCAATTGCAAATGTTACAGAATTGGATTGATAGAAAAATAATATTAGCTTTGAAAAAATAGATCAATTTACTGTAATATTCTGTATATCTATCTAATTTTTAAATTATTTAAACTTTGTATGAATATTATGAAACTGTTATAGCGTATTAGTAAATATTTTTCATATTTTTCAAGAAATATATGTTAAGAAATGATAAATGATTATTCGTATTATTCTCAGAATAGTTGCATTTATATTTTTTTTAAATTCATATGATTGAGAAATTGTCTCGTTTAAATGCTACAATCTTTTTCAATTTAATTTAAATTGATTTATAAAGTCAACAATAAAATACAACATCTTCATCTTCATAAAATGAATCTATCATATTACATATGAAATTACTTATCTTACCAGATATCAGTGAAAAAACTTTTTTCAATATCTAAAAAAATATTAAACCAATAAGAATTACAAATCTACAAGTATTTATAGAAGAAACTATCCATTTCAATGAAAATTTTTACACTTACAATTTATAATAAAATTTTTATATTCACAGCCTGGTTTAGTTTTTTGATCACAATTTCATAAATTTGTTTTCAATCGTAGATGTCCAACCAAAGGATGCTCTAACATTCACCAGCGTCCACGAAATGCCAACAAATCCATCTTCGAGTGTTCCTCTTGTCGACGAAAAATCGACTTGAGAGAATCGTTGGACCAGTTGCGCGAATGCGAACGACTATACGCTCGAGGATTTGAAACAATGGAAAAAGAACAACCCAAGAAGGCACTGGAGGCATTCTTTGAAGCAACAAGCAAGTTTCACAAAATCGCTATGCCGCCTCATAAAGACACTCACTTGGCTGAAATTGCAGCGAGCGCGTGCATGGCGGATGAAGGAAACGTTTACCAACTTGACTCCTTCCTTTGACTACGCGAATTTGCTACCATCTATACCATCTTGTGAACAACGAAATAGAGAAGAAATGGAACTAAAGAGAACAGGAATAGAAAAACAAAAAAAAAATTATGTGATTATTACCTTCATCGTAGTTTGATCGTTTGAGCAACATTTATCTCGATAAATGGTGATTAAAATAAAGATATTTCAAAGAAATTGTTACAAAAATCACGTGATAGATCGGAAAAAAGGAGAAATATATGGATAATCGATGTGAGAGTGTAACAAACTTCACCCTCAATTCGTGAGTTTTGCGATTTTTTTGGCATTTATTTTTTATAATGCACATGTTTCGTGAAAAAATTAAATTCCGTATATGAAAGTAGCTTTTCCAAGTTTCGCATTTCGGTACAAAATTCACTGGGTTCAAAGGGAAGGAGGGAATCGTCAGTCGTTGAGGAAACGGGGACAAGGACAAGGATATATGGATTGGGATTAGGGAAAAATATGGAAAAAGGTTAAGAATGAGGAAAGCAGGATGGAACGATCGATGGGATATCGATCGACGGACGACGTGTTGCAACGCGTCCAGGTCGCGACCGGCGAGATCTACGTCTCCTCTTTTACCTGTTGTTTATTCGAGGGACACAAGTTCCCTCGACATTCTTCTCTTTCATTCCTTTTTCTTTCCATCTGTCCCTCGACCCTTCGATTCGATAGGGACAGCTTCTTATCATCGTGCATCATTGCGATCGCTCCTCGCGAAAAGCTGAATTTAAAACTAATTGACTGTCGCAACGAGTGGTACGCGGATTGTCACGATCCTCTCGTACTCGTCTCTCCCTCGAAAGTAATAAACGCGATTCAAAAAAACGTCTCGCTCGAGAAAAACGAAACGAGAGTACCGAGAACCGTCGAGTACGATTGTCACCCGACTGATTAATTCCAGGCCATCGAAACGGGAACGCATCAACATTATACAGATCGCTCGAAAGGGATCGTACGATCGCTTTGCGCTCGCTGTTCAACCGCAACGTTGGCCGACCTTCGAACATCGCGTTGCCTGTTGCGCTCATCACACGCGTACACTTCCGCTCGGTTTTTCTTTTTTTTTCTTTTTTTTTCC